TCTCTCTCTCTCTCTCTCTCTCTCTCTCTCTCTCTCTCTCTCTCTCTCTCTCACACACACACACACACACACACACACACACACCATACCACACCACACCACATCACATCACACAAGCCACCGCCATTACCACCTGCTCAAGAGAGAACTGACCTTTGGAGGGAACATGAGAGACTTTTGGAATGTGAATCTCCACAGGAGCCCTGTGAAGCTTGGCGGGTCACCGAGGTAATCTGTCTGCACGTGTATGACGGGAACCCTGGAGAAGGAGCCATGCCCAGTTTCCGGGAACCGTTTAAGCTTCCAAAGACATGTATAGAGTTCACATCTGTCTTTCTGTGTCCCGCTGCCTTATAATATACTGTGAAGTGGATGTGTGTGAGGTGATTGTTTTCAAGTGATCACTGGCATTGACTTGGTGTGTGTTAGTTACAGACATTGACTCCTGGGCCTCTTTCCCACCGACTGTTGGGTTGCTTATTGTCTGAGACTTATGTATGATATACGCCATTGAGTTTTTCAAAGAGTCTTCTCCAGGTGGATATGACACCCAGAGAAGAACTATATTAAAGGGAGGCAGTGATTAAAATCTCAAGGTTAGTTTGTATATCAGTATGCTACCCCAGTGTGCAGTTAAAGAAGCCTACATATTTGCAACCATGCCTTGGTGGAGATTGCCTTTTGTCCACTCATGGTGACTTTGTATCACATGGTGACATCTAGTTTGTTCACAATTTAATTAGTTTCTCAAGTTGGCATGAATTTGGGGTAGGGGAGCCTTATCGTTTCCCTCTGAATCACGGAACACTCAAAGTATTCCTGTATGTCCCCCATATGTTTATATAAGTGCCCAAAGGTCTAAGAATGAAATCTCCACTACTCCAGGGTTGCTCTGTCCTAGTCTTCTTTAGAAGGGATAGGCAAATGGCAGTACACCATAAAAGTTGGAGAAGGGCTCACAAGGAAGGGGAAGTAGTTAAAGACAAACTCTTACAGAGGAAAATTCCACCCTAAATCCCCCAAACCTGCCAATGTCCTGCTGAAATGCTACTCGTCCTTTAAGGGGAGGGACCTCAGGGGCTGAGGATGGCCACCAGCCAGGGCAGTCATCCGGCTATTCCCCCAGTCCCTGCGGTTGAGAGCCCACATAATCATACACTTGAGAATTGCAGTAGCCCAGAGAAGAAGGGTGATGGGAGTGGGCGTGGGAGGGGCTACTCACTGAAGTAAAAGCCCCTTGGTCCACACACGAACTGAAGAGCGTCCACCAGCTCGGCCCCGCAGAGGGTCTCCGGTCCAGCTGTGGCAGAGCTCGTGAAGGTGAGCAAGCAGAGGGCCAGGTAGAAGAGATGGGAGGACGACATGGTGTGCATCTTTATCTGCGGAGAGAAAGAACAGAGGGTCAGGAATCCTGGTGGGTCTGGAATGGGTGGGACTTGAACACCTTGACTCGCAGGCTCTCCTCGCTATCACTCATCAAGACTATCTGGCCTAGAAGAGCAATGGGGCGTGAAGAGGCATGAATACCCCTGCAGGTCCTGGTCCGAGCCAGCCTTGACATCAGACACCCCATGTTTAGTCCCTTTGATTTTTCAGAAGGTCTCCTGTGGTTTTTATGAGTTCCTATTACAAATAAATGGGGTAAAAGACTACAAACATTTGCTGCATCACAAAAGATGGCAGTTATTTTAGTGAGGGGATTCCCGTGCAATTCTGAAAGCCCAATAAAGCATCTCGATTATCAATAGTTAAATACACTCAGCTTTGTGGTCACAGTGTTTTAAGTGTTCTAAAGCATGGCTACCTGCAGATGGTACATAGACTCATATCTGTTATTGATCAAAAATACTAAATTAACCAGGGTATCGTTTTCTGTCCATAGATTAAGAAGATTTTTTTTATACTGGTCTGAAAGGAATTGTGAAAAACATCATTTCAGAGACAGAGAGGGGCTGAGAGAGGGGGGGGAAGCGTGAGGGTGGGGTAAGAGGTGACTTACCTGAGAACGTTATCGGACAACACAGCCATAAGTGGAAACCGAACAACCAATCCAGAAACAAGGGGAGACATGAGGATTTAGGAATGACATCATCTCTCTTACAGCACAGAGACAGAAAGGTCTGACTCCTTTCCTTAAACTCCTCGAAGGTCATATAGTCTGTAGCTCTATACCAAAATGCAGGGTGACAAGAGAAAGTCATGATGTCCTTATTTATTAACTAAATTAAAGGTTTAGGTGAGGAAAGTGCCGTCAGGAGAAAGACTCCAAAATGAGGGAAAACCTTTGATTGTTTTAGTTCAATGGAGAATGGACTGTGGGTAGAGTTAGGGTCTAATGGCAGTAGTCTTGGGTGGAACCCCAGCATGCCTTGCCTCTCCTGATCATCCTCTGCCCCTTTGGGAAACATTCCTAAGTCCTGAGTATAGGCTTCAGGGCCGCTCTGGAACAAGGGGCCAACCATCTGCCATCAGACAAGGCAGACAGCTGATTCTGCTTTGGCCAGCTCCTCGACAGAAAGTGTGTGTGTGGGGGGGGAGGTAGAAGCAAATGTCCGTGTTTTATGGCTGCTTTGGGAAGAGGGTTTCTAGTCTCTGTGTCCGCCTGGGGGGTGGGGTGGGGAACAAGCAGGAAAGGGGAGAAGGTCAGGGAGTTTAGCAATCATTTTTCTGAGCTCTAACAGGAAATAAAAGTAGTGCTTACATTCTCAAGCCCTTCTCTTCAGCTCACTACCAGAGGGGTCCACACAGACAGTGCAGGGCACTGGGCTTAAAAACCGGCCAGAGCCTTTAATTGAGCAGCGGGAATTCTGACTTAATCTCTGGGAGGCATTCATGTGTCGTTCTATCAATTTTATAACAAAATCTGTCAAGGGACCTCCAGTTGGCACAAGTTAGTCAGTGGTCGAGCGCCAAGCAGCAACCCTGCCAAAGTCAGGGCTCCTGTGACTCAGGTCTCTCTTCCTTCTAAGAAGCAGAAGACTAGGAAGACAGACAAATACTTTTTCCCATCGCCACTTGTGGAGCCGGCATGAGCGTTCTTCCAGGGAGGCTCCCAAGGTGAGCAGCTCTGCCTCCTTCCGACACACACACTTGGGCAGCATGGAAAGTGTCACCGACATGGGATCAGGTGACCTGCTCGGTGAAAGGGGTCACGGAGCTGCCCCGGAAGCTAGATCTTTTTAAAAGATGCCTTTTTTTTTTTGAACCTCACAGTTGGGGAAAGTTCAAGCAATCCCATCAGGTGTGGAGATTGAGACCCAGGTATTTCATTTATGGTCACTTTCTCTGTCCTATGTGAACTTTCAACTTGATGGTTCTGCATCCCTGGCAAATGTTGCTCAATTATTTTAGACAAATTTCCAATTCTGTGGCTAGGTCTTCTTCAGCCTAGCATTTGGAGTGGGCAGAGAGCCAAGTCCCTGATTCTCGATAGCACAAGGTAAATATTCAGTAAGTGCTTGGAAAGCAGCTAAGAATGACAGGAGGACTCTGTAGTGACAGATCCTCACGAGAGAGGACATGCAGTTATGGAGGAGGGATGACCTCAGTCAAGCCCTCCTTAGGACTTCGGCATGGAAGCCTTCCAACTCTATACAACCAAAGACACAGGTTTCCTAGAAATGAGCTAACAACTACTCATTTCCCTTGGTCGTGAGAAGAATGCCGGGGAGTTCCCTGAACAGATCCAACCCAACAGGGCTTCCCAGGTTTGTGAAAGGAGCAGCCCTGTCATCCCGATAATTGCCCCTCCACTCTGGCAGCGGGTCCTTTCTAGAATGAATAACTCTTCAGCAAACCCGGTTCTGAAACACCGCCCCCTAGCCCCGCGGAGTTATTTTAGATAGTGGTGAAGGCCAGACACCTGCAATGGTTAGCTTGGACCAACTCCACAGGAGCTATTTCTCAGTCTCACAGCCTTGGTGAATTTAGACTGCCACGAGCTGTCATAGACTACATTTTAATAGTTCAAGGTAGAGTACGCTTAAGTCCAGCGAGGCATATACATCTCTAGAATCTAAAAACTGAAAATTGCTTTTTACCAATTTTCCTTTTCCTTTCTGCATGGGATCTGGGATTATACTAAAAAAAAAAAACACTAAGTTTCAGTACTTATAATTCTAGGACCTCTGGTACATTTTCCTTTAGCTCAGAGACCAGTCCAGCACACCCTCAGGGAGTCGGAGTTTATCACACCGTGTTCCCCAAACAGAAAACAGTAACGAACGTGCTTAGGAACTAAGAAAAGTCCAAAACAAGTCTCCCCATATGTTCTCCATTTCCTCGGCCCCCTATTTCATCAACCGCAGGGAAAACGACTAGAGAGAAGGCATAGATGTGCTAGGAAGAGGTCAAGGAAGAGCCTGGGAAAGAGAGGGTGAAAAAACCCCAATCCCGAACTCAGAACGCTTTCCTCAAAGATCATCCACAAATCAACGTTTCCAGAGGCCTCTTGTGTGTTAACAGAGTTGGGAGAGCAATTGCTTCCAGTTGTCTGGCTGGCCCTGAGAATGCCTGGCAGAAGCGGGAGGGTCGGAGCCACGAGAAGGTACTCACTGGAGGTGCCGTCATTTGGGTATGTCCCAGGTTGTTTTCACAGCAGGTCAGGGTGGGGTATTATGAGGCCAATGTGAATAGAAAACCCAGGACTTAAAAACAAGTGCTGTTTTGTGGGTGGGGTTTGTGAAAGCATCTAGTTAGATTTGGACACCCAGGCAGGTATGCTACCAGCCTGGGTAAACTGCCTTTTGTCCATTCAGACAAGGAGCAAATTGCACAGCTGGGAGTTGAATCAACCCTCCTCATTCCTGACCCCCCCCCCCCACAGTGAAGCCTCTGATTTCCATTGTATGGCTACGTATCTTAGCTACCCAGAATAGTGAGCTATGTTCCAGCTCCTTCCCCACCTTCTCCTGACTCAATCCCTGAGAAATACCTTGAGCCCCAGAGTACAAAGCCAGCCTGTGCCCAGTGTGCACTGCTCAAGGGCGGTTGACCTCAGTTCATTGAATTACATTTCAAAGACCACCACGCAGCAGCTCCCCTCAACCAACTCCTGCTGCGAGGACAGGAAAAAGTTGAAGCTGTGTGGCTAGCTCCACTTCGGAAATGCCTTGCAGACCCAGCATGGAAAGAAAGTTCATTTGGAGACGATTTTCCAAACTTGCAGGGAATGCCGAGGTAACATGCCACAGCCTCTTTGATAAACCTTTTAAATAGGGAGACGCAAGCCCAGCTGCCAGACCACACAGTATATGTGAATGCTGACTTCATAACTGCAAGGTGGCTGGAGCCCGCGGACATCTCAAGGATGGCAGAGCTAGGTTGTCTCCCTAACTCCCAAGCCACTTACTTGCCTAAGAAAAAGTCCGCAGCGAAGGAACGCTGGGCTCTGTGGCTAGGATCTTTTATGAATTAAGCCCTCCGGCAACTGCCTCCAAGGAGCCAGTGACAGCGGCTTAAAAGTGCTTGCAAACTGAAAAAAAAAAAAAAAAAAAAAAAAAAAAAAAAAAAAAAACAACAACAACAACAACAAAAAAAAACACAAGTCTGGAAGGATATAATTTTGCTGAGAATGGAAACTTGAACTAGAGCCAGTGATCGGAAAGGAGAAGTCAGTGTGTTGACAGCGGCGGCCGCAGCCAGATTCACCTAAAGACACTTTACTGCACCCGTGTAAGAGCAGAGGCTTGCAGCCTGAAATCCAAGCCCAAACTCAGTCCACCAAAGTCCCCTTCCAAAGAGAAAAGTTGGACAAGCAGCCGCCAGAACGCTCCCGCTCTCCAGGCACTCCGTGCACAGCGTGGATCTGTTTAAATTTTCCGAATATGCAGAGGCAGCAAGTTGTCTAAGAGCTCCCTTTTTTTCAGGAAAGCAAATAAAACTTCACTTTAACTTTGACTTTCTGGGCATAAGTGCAAAGAATTCCTGATTCTTGGCTCCAAGAGGCATTTTTAAACAGCGTTCCTATCATCTAAAATGTAACTTTTTAATCTGTGACAAGCCTCGTAAATAAAGTCCTGACAAATTCCACACACATACACGGACAGACACACACACGGACGCGGTCTTAAAAAGCGAACGCCTGCACCTGTGAAAGAAAAGCACAACCCAAGTTCACATCCAGGCTTTCTAGCCCCGAGCCATAGGCAAGATTTAAAGGAACCTCTTAAAACGGCAGCGCGGAAGCCCTGTAGAAGTGGAGGGTTTAGCATAAGTACCTTGCAATAGTTTCTACCCGTACAAATATCCCTGCAATTGCATTCATCTCCCGGAGCTCCTTCCACAGCTCGCGCAGAACTGCACATTCAGCAATTTGTAAATAACTCCCAGTTTCTGAAACAATGCAAATTCTAAAGCGAATAACACTTCTAGGCAAGCGCACAGTTTAAAGACAATCCCCCAATGACTCTGAAGAATAAGAGATATTTACCTTCAAGAAATCACAGAAGCAGCACTTAAATAATTGAGCAGGAAGACCGGTGACTTTTCCCATCGCTTCTGAAGTGCAAAGTCTGGAAATGAATTGGTGAGCAGGAATAATGAGGCAGAAAGAAATCCAGAGAGACGAGAGATGTTAGAGCAATGTCACATTTCAGTTTTGAGGACTTTATTCCATTGCGCAGGCTCTATCTGCTCCGAATTTAGCAGTGACAGTGAGATTTAGCAAACAGAAGAGGGATTTAGAGAAAATCCTCACATTTATCTACAAAACACAGACGCTGTAGACAGGAAACAGCTGGGGGAGCGTTCGCCTTCTCTCTCTCCCTCTTCTGGCAAAGTTATCGAGTAAGGACTTTTTTGGGCACGGTGACAGAATAACATCATACCTTTGCTTTTCAGAACTGGAGCACAGAAGCGTTTTTTCTCTCCCCTGAAAAGAACGTGTGTTACTGACAGTGCTAGCAGACATTAAATACTGATGCTGCCGTAGAGAATAGGTCTGTTCTCGGATTAACTTTTCACAGGGCAGAAGGTACCCTTGCCTGCCAGTACACCTTACCGGGGTCAGAGGGTCTAAGTGGGGTAGCGGAGCAATTTTATATTTTAGGGCAAATACCGAATTTGAGAAAGAAGAAAAAAAAAAGAAAGAAAAGATTGTCTCCAGAAAGTCCGATGATGTTAACCCTGAAGTGACCAGGCTGAGCTGGTAGGAAAGCCAGGGCTCCGGTGACCCCTCGCCCTACTTGCCAAGCGAGGGGAATGATCTCATTTCCTAAAACCTATAGACAGGCAGGCAGCAGCGGGCTGGCTCTCATTAGGACACTGGATCACGCTTTGTGCAGAGAAAAAGACTATGCTGAGCTCTGAAACCAACTGACAAATAAAAAGATCTTATTTTTCAACAAAGCCAGCTGCATGTCACCTCCTCAGCCCCAAGGAAACAGTATGTGAGGCACACACACACACACACACACACACACACACACACCACACACACCACACACTGTTGTCCATGTTTTTTCGGCGTGTGTGTGTGTGTGTGTGTGTGTGTGTGTGGTGGCTGTGTTTTCTTTCTCCATTTTTTTTTAATGTGTGTGTATTCCAAATAATACCAGCTGGCTAGCAATACCCTCTCCAGAGTTATGATGTCATTCAAATCCCTCCACTGGGTAAAGTGGCTGGCAGCATGGTTCAAGCTGGCTGCTTCACTATTTATAATGTATACTCACTTGCCTTTGCCATAGAGAATCATGTTCTGATCTTTTGTCGATACGGTTTGTAGCTATTTCTCAGTGCTTTAGAGAGGCAATAGATAAGGAAACAAATTACGACAGAAAGCTACCAAAGCCCCGCCTAGACAGTGCGCTTTCCTCGGATGTCTGTCTAGGTGTGGTTTCGCAGGGGAGGTGGAAATGAGCCGAGCCCGACTCCCCTCGCTCTCTCAGGACTCTGGGGGGATTTGAAGATATTGACACATCAGTGGAGACAGAGGTCGGCTATACACGGCCTCATTCTGCTGCCCATGGCTGGAAATCTGCTTGGAGAGGTGGATGTCCTTAAATGAAACCAGCTTGGTTTTGCAAGGGGTTTGGGCTTGTTCCAACCCTCGGTGTGGTCAATACTTTATGGCAGTGTTTACCTTTCAGACACAGGCGCTGGAAACCTGGAGTTGGACTGGTGCAGTGGTGGGTGATGGTAGTATCATTTGATGAGGATACCTACTGTGTGCACAACTACACATACTTCTAGAGGAGTCACAGGGGACACGAAACAGGCAGGCAGAGAGAAACTTCACTGCCATGTGTGGAGCATGTGTTGCTTTAAGATATATGAGCAGTGCACAGTGGGAGAGGGCAACGATTTCTCAGGGAGATGGGAGGGAAAACCTCTTTTGGAGGATAGGGGAGGAGAGAATGTATTGTGAGAGGCATGGGCCTGGGATTGACCCAGAGAACACATGATTCTGCAGCATCACCAGGTAGTCTTGGCATGTCTGCAGCTATGGGGGCAATTCTGCAGCATCACCAGGTGGTCCTGGTGTGTCTGCAGCTGTGGGGGCAACCCTGCAGCATCACCAGGTGGTCCTGGCATGTCTGCAGCTGTGGGGGCAACCCTGTGCACAGAGTAACCCAAGGCTTCCTCTAGCTAGCTCTCGTTGAGCACTTGATTTATAACAACTTATAGAGATCATTTTCTTTTTTGTAAAAACATCCATCCCCCTCTTAAGGACTTTGATGATGTACATAACCTGGAACCAAAGACCTGTTGAGAGCTTCTTAGTTTCTCTGGCAGGAGAAATCAAATCCAGGCTGGAGCCCAGGTAGCAGCCCCTTCCTTGGTCTACCGTTGGGTGGCTTCACAGGTAAACAAGCACTGCCAATCGCCTCTTCCCAGTGCAGTTGTCTCAATACATTCTGGAAGCTTATTTTTCTCCAAGTTTGTGACTCTGGCTCCTATGCTTTCTGAGCACGGTGATGTGATGTGCCGTGCCATGTTGTTCTGTGTTGTGTAGTGCTACGCTGTTCTGTGCTGTGTAGTAATGTGCTGTGCAGTGCCGTGCACTGTGTGCTGTGCCATGCCGTGCACTGTGTGCTGTGCCATATAGTGCTGTGCTGTGCACTGTATGCAGTGCTGTGCAGTGCTGTGCTCTGTTGTGCACTGTATGCTGTGCAGTGCTATGCTGTGCAGTGCTGTGCACTGTGTGTTGTGCACTGTGTGCTGTGCTGTGCACTGTGTGTTGTGCACTGTGTGCTGTGCTGTGTAGTGCTGTGCTGTGCACTGTGTGCTGTGCACTGTGTGCTGTGCTGTGTAGTGCTGTGCTGTGCACTGTGTGCTGTGCAGAGCTTTGATGTCATGCTGTGCCTAGCACAGATCAGTTATCCTCGGCTGCTTTGTCTGAAAGGCCGCTTTGAGGACAGAACACAGACCTGCACTCGGGCAGAGTCGACAACACAGGGATTCACTTGGCTTTATAACCCCAATTACCCTTAAAGGATAATTGAGGTTTAATTTGTGTTCCAGTTTATGTCCCTATCAAAGACAACTGAATTTCCGTGCGTCGTAATTCTCATCCACTGTGCTGTGGAAACATTCTGATGTGAACTATCAGTTTCCTATGGCGGGGGGAGGGGTGCAGCAATTTTCTGGAGGGGTTCACATCCATTTCAAACCAAAGAATCATCTGTGTTAGCAGGGAGGGTGAGCTAGCAACAGAACAGGGGACCATGATTCCAGGGGAAACTCCATTTTCTTTGTAAAGTCCAAGTGTCAATGCGAAGATAGAGGGTCTTTAGTGATGGGGTGAGGTACCTGTTTAGGGGAGAAAACAAGGTACAAATCCACTGCTGAAGCTTAAGGTGGTAGTAAGTTTAGTACCTAGGAAGAGATCGGGTCATGAAACCCCCTGCAGAGGACTGTCCGTGGCCATTCTGAAGTTACCGGATGCTTATATAGTTGTCTGGAAAAAGGATCTAACAGCTATGGGAACCGTGTGCCACAAAAATAGCTAGCTGCAAAGATGCGCTCTCCATGAGAACATCCACTCCGGAGTGGAGCGACAGGCTCACAGTCTCACCTTTCGCATGTGTAATGCCTGTCGGAGGCTATAAATAGCCCTCGCTCCAGCCTTCCCCTTGCCTGGTGGTCCATTTGCATAAAGCCACAGCTCAGGAAGGCTTCTGACACCTTTCTTTAAAAGATAAATAAAATGAACTTGTTCATTCTCAGAAAGTGAGGATTGCTTGAGAGGCGCAGACAATGGGGCAATACCTGGTGCCCTGGTCTTTTTGCTTGAGTCAGCGTGCCAGTTCTCTCTGTGTTCCTTGGGGAGGGGTCACCATCAAAGGTCACGTTGCATGTTTGCACTGTTGGGCGTGTAAATTTTTGTCTTTATTGCTGTTACTGACATTAATGTCAATGTATGTTATGTGTGTATGTGTGTGTATGATAGCAGAAAGGAATGTTGAAGAAGAGAAATATCTGGAATAAGGGGGAAGAGAAGACAGAGAGGATAATGGGATACACGTGACATGAGTGGAAGAACGACTCAGGGCCAAGAGAGGAGAGGAGAAGAGAAGTTCCGGGTAGAGATGTGGAGGAAGGGGGCTCTGTTGTCCCAAAGGCCACCCGGCAGAGGCCTTGGCAAAGATCTTGGTGTCTCTCTTGGGTCTTTCTTTGTAGGGGCAGTTGCTCTGGAGTGTGAGCCTTTGCCTGAGGTGAAGAGCTTGTATACAGAATATAGGACTTAGAGGTCTCCAAAACTCAACGTGCCAAAGAGAAGGGACCCACTAGGTTTTCCAAGCCTTCTGCTCAGGAGGCTCCTGTTGACCCCACAAAGACAGTCTGTAGCTGGGGGAGCTGCTGTAACTGCTCGAAGGGACATTTTCCTCACAGCGAGGGGGAAATGGGAAGACAAATCCATTCACTGAAGAAATCAGTGTTTCTTCTCAGCATCGAACTTGGATTGAATTTCTGCTAAAATGACAAACAGACAAATACTGGAAAGAGAAACCAAATCGACGTGGGTTTGTGAGCCAGTCAGTCTTCCTTATAGTGGAGGAAGCATCACCACAGGGGGTAAGTGTGGTTTGGTGGAGAGAGAGAACTTGAGGGCTCACTGTACTTGTCCCAGGTCGAATAGAAAGTGGGCAAGAACACTCCAATTTCGAACCTCAGGGCTAGAACCCACACAGGCTCTTTCCTTGGGAATTAAAAAAAAAAAGAAAAGGAAAGAAAGGAAGAAGGGAAGAGAGACAGAGACACAGAGGAAGAAAAAGAGAAAGAAAAGAAAAAAGAAAATTTGTGTGCCCTCTAGTGGTCATTTTGGAAACTACCACTTTAATCTTCACTGGACACGTGGAAGGAGTGTGTGTGTGTGTGTGTTTTGTGTGTGTGTGAAAAGTCCTGGATTCATATATAAGCTGCATGTATCTACTTAACTAAACCTTTTAAATAAAGGTGCATGTTTTCACCACCCTGCCATTTAAATGGGGGTGAAGTGTTGAGGGGCAAAGAAATAGCATAAACGTCACAGATGTCTCTTCATGCCCAGTCTCCTGGTATAAGCTCAAAACATGGTGCTAAAAGACTTAGAGTATGGAAAATAAATGGCGATTAAAGTAACATATTTTCCAAAGTCACAAACCCACTAAGTAAAACGACAAGCCTTCTCATTTCATAAGTAAGAAAAAAGGCACGGGTGTAAGGAGTGCTGGGTAGAAAAATGATTTCATTGAATGAAACCTAAATTTAGGTGCTCCCAAGCACAGCTGGGATTCAGTCTTCCTGTGTCCTCTTCACACTTTCTGACACCTCGGTTTTCAAAATGTGGGTTAGA